CTTCTAAGTCTTCTGTGTCTTGTTGTGGAAGAGCCTGTAAGCATGTGTAGCCCAGGGTGGCCTTGAACTACTCATCTTCCTGCTTCCTCCTCCCAAGTGCTGGGATTAAAGGTGTATGCCAACACTGTCTGGCCTCTATGAGTAACTAGCAGGTAGGGTAGCTCCACACTCTGATCTGCAGGCAAGCTTTATTTGTCAGAACATAAACAAAATATCATACAACAGTGGATTTATGTCTGGTATTGTAAAGTAGGTCAACAAGAGCACTAGAGGAGAAGCTACTGATGGCATTTTGCTAAACAGACATAATGTGACATATATATATATATTGCAGTGGAAACCAGTGACAAAAGAGAGAGGAGAGGGAGAGGAGGAACAAGGAGGAGAAGGAAGAGGAGAGGGAGAGGGAGAGAGAGAGAGAGAGAGAGAGAGAGAGAGAGAGAGAGAGAGAGAGAAAATTTTGAGACTGACATAGTATTGCTTCATGATATATATAGCTTGCTGGCATGGATCTTGAAAAAGTTAAAGTTGAAGTCATAAGACATGTAGACCTTGTAGATGCTGAGAAACAGAACAAATGTTCCTATCTGCCTCTTTCCAGGCAAAGGCCAAAAAACTCCAGCATATTCTAGACAGGCATGCATCACAACCTAAACACTGAAAACCAATCTGCCACTCAACCAGTCCTGATATGGTGAAAGTTTGCCCCCTAGTGAAGTTGGTAAGTATATTTTCACCCAAACATGGTACCTGAATGTGGAGACTCTATATTCAACATTGATAGAAAGAAATCTGTTTCTGATACTGGGATGCAAAGATTATAATAATTTTCTTAGTGTTAGCAAAATTAATAAGGACGACAGACATCTTGAGGAACTCATAGAGCCAGTATGTAGGCAGGAAGACTGGAAAATGTAAAATGTTAACATGCTTTTCTGTTATACTGGGCAATGAGTAATTTTTTGCCTTGTTTTTCCAAAATTCAGAGCATAAATACATTTTTATTAGAACATACCCACACAATCTTTACATAACGTGTAAGATTGTTGTATTACAATAGAATTGACTAATCATAGGAGAAATGGCATAGTCCCACAGCCTAAAATATCCAGGATTCAGACTTCAATGGAAAAATTGAGAGTTAACCACTCTCAATTGTCAACTCATGTGTGAAGTAGAGAACTTGGTGCTCTCTGAGGCTACTCTTCAATCTTGATGATATTATATGGACAATGAGTTCTTAAAGCAGAACTGGCATTTTTTTAATAACACATTATGTGGTAGCCTACACTGTAGTGACCCATAAGCACCTCAGAGCCTTATTCTAATGAGGGTGCTACTGAATCACTGCATCCAGTAGACAAAAGACCATGGTAATCTTCTTCTGCCTGTGTTTATAGATGCCTACTGTAGCAGGAATCTTATAGAGTGTTATTAATAAAACAAAGAGCCAAGTATTGGGGTGAAGCTGGAGGATCAGAGAGACAGAACAAGCCACAGCTAACCTCACCTGGCCAACTTCTCAGCTGGTCTTGTTTCCTCAGATTGGAAGCCTCTGTGTCCTCATATCCGAATGGCTCTCAACTGAACTCTTCTGCTAGAAGCCTGAAAGCTTAACCAGCCAAATGCTTAACGAGCCAAATGCTTCTAGGTTCTGGTCTTCATGCCTTATATATCTTTCCTTTCTACCACCACTCCCTGGGATTAAAGGCTTGCTTTCTGGGATTAAAGGCGTGTGTAACCATGCCGGACTGTTTTTTTGAACTCACCGAGATCCAGAGGGATTTCTGCCTCTGGAGTGCTAGGATTAAAGGTGTGAGTGCCACCATTTTCCAGCCTTTGTATCTAGTGGTTGTTCTATCTCTGACTCCAGATAAGTTTATTAGGGTGCACAATATTTTGGGGAACACAATACCACCGCAGCCTACAGCATATGGTCATTGTCCACGGATAGCTGAGAAACCCAGAGCATTGGTGTTTTCTATTGTAGGCTTATATTCACAGTGTAAGAAGTGCACACAGGAACAGTGAATAGAATTGAAGAACAGATTTTCACATACAACCTCCTGTTCTCTCTTCTTTAAATGGCCACTGAAAACTTTGACATGGAAAAGAGTGCAATACAGACACCACAATGAAGTATCAGAAAGCCTGACTTTATGACTGGGTAATTCTTAGCACTATTTGACATAATGTAACACGGATCTTAATTGATCTTAATAATAAAAACCCAGAGCCAGATATTGGGATAAGTGCTGGAAGATCAGTAAAGGAGCCAGCCACTAGAAAGACTTCTTACCTCTACCGAATCCTCAGACTGAGAGCAAGTAAGCTTGTGTCGTTTCCCCTCTTACAGTCCTCTCTTCGCCCGCCATATCACTTCCTGTCTCCACCTCCCAAGTGCTGGGACCAAAGGTGTGTGCCACCACTGCCTGGCTTTGTTTCTCTTTTAGACTGGATCAATCTTGTGTAGCCCTGGGTGGCCTTGAACTCACAGAGAGCCTTCTGCCTCTGCATCCCAAGTGCTGGGATTAAAGGTGTGTGCCACCACTGCCTGGCTTCTGTGGCTAACTAGTGGCTTACCTCTGCACTCTGATATTCAGACAAGCTTTATTTGTTAGATTATGAACAAAACATCACCACAACATAATGTTCACTTTATAATACAAGCATGTTTATTAATGTTATTTCTTACTCTTCTGTACGAAAACTCACAGCAAAACTAACCAATATTTATTTTGCAAAATATCAGTAAGTAGGCACTTAGTACAGGAAATACAAGTGTCTTCTGCACTAGACACTTCGTTATTTACTTATATTGAAACACCTTTGAAAAACCCTCTAGGAATTCTGTAGCACAGCGAGGAGGATGAAATCCAGCTTTAGAGAAAGCTGGGAACCTGTGTTGGCGCTAAGGAACACAGGGCCAACTCTGCACTTAAACTAGACACTCTACATAAAAGATTTTAATCTAAAAAAACTCACTGTTGAAAAAGTACGTTTGGAGCTGATGAACACTCACTAAGAACAATTGCTGCTCACTCGGAAGACCTGTGTTTGGTTCCCAGCTTCCACACTGGGTGACTAACAACCCTCTGTAACTCCAGTTCTAGGGGACCTGACAGCTCTTCTAGCCTACATGGACCTACACACAGTCATTCACACATACACATACCATGATAATATTAATAAAATAAAAATAAATGTTAGAAATATTCTGTTTAGTACTATACTAGATAATACAGGACAGTTACCATTATCCCAGTCATGTCACAAAAGAGGATGTAGATCAGGTGAGCATTGATGGGACATAGATATGTAAGAAAATATAAGGAATGCATCTTGAGGAACATACCAAAGTGATAATGCCAACTAAAGAGAATTAGGAGTACATCTCAAGGAAAATACAAAGCTAATACTTGCTTACTGGACTTCAGATTTTACTGACGCCTCATTCTTGAAAGCACTAAACATGCACAGATACAAATCTTTCTGATGTAATCTGAAAGAACTGACTGGAAAGTCATTGGGGTGATTTTTGCTGAAAGATTGAAGAACCTGGAGCTTGGTATTGATGGGCAACTGTAGCATCAATGGATGCAACCACCCAGGAAGAACAAAACGTGTGCGTACTGGCTAGCTTTCTCATTCTTCCATACTTTGTTTAAAACCCAAAAGTGTATCTTACTAATCTTCTAGCCATCTTTCAATTCAATCAAACTTGAAAATCAAGATTAACATTTCACAATGTGATTTTTCCACTTAAACTGATTCAACAATACTGCAGATGATAACTTAAAGACCTACTAATTCTTTTCCCAGAATAGATGGCATTTTTGACAAGTTCACATCTTTTGCAAAACTCTTACAACTTAAATATGGCAATATCAATTTAATAAAACTTAGTAAATGACATTAACTCAATATAAAGTTATATTATAAAGGTATAAGAGTTTAAGAAAGCAAGAATATTTGCTTATATATGTGTGCACATGCTCTAAACTAAATTGGAAAGAAATACTCAGGGCACTTATGATCCTGTTTCTGTAGCTGTTTATTCATGCATAACTATTTTTCTTTTTGTTATATTTTTTCGTTTATTATTTGAACATTCAATACTTGCAAACAAGGAAATATGGCTTTCATTATTTAATCCTCCTAAATACATGCCACTCCAAATTTCATATCCTTGTTGTTCTAAGGACTTCTTCCTCTGATAAAACTTTTCTTAGCATAAGGTCACAATAGAAGAAAGAAAAACCTTTGCTATGGAATCATTAGGAACATCAATGTGTACCACTTTTCCTATTTCTACTTTGTGACTCCAGAATCTATGAATCTTAGTTACGGGATAATTTCTACTAAATACTCACAAGCTGATTCAAAGCAAATAAGCATTCTTCTGGAAACTGGTTTCAAATCTCTAAGTCATTGTTCCCTATCTGACAGGCAATTGAGTCTTTAAAAGATTATTCCACTATTTTAGCAACTACTCAGACAGTTGAAAATATGATAAAGCCAATGAATTTTATTAGTATGAGCCCCTTGCTGTGGCATTCCATAACATGAGTTCCTCAATAATATTTATTTATTTATTTATGGGGTATTATGACAGTGATAAGGAGCAGCAGTGTGTACTCACCATTCCATCTGTGTGTTCCATTAAGCCTTGTACACAGTCAAGCACCCAGTAATTAACAGACAGCTATAGTTTTGTGTTTTCTCTTCTGCATTTACCCATATAAAGCCTTAGAAAAATTTAAAGTTAACCCATAATTGATTTTTTAAGCTTTATTTTAGGCAGTCATTACTGTTGTTTACTTAAATTTATTTTAAGTTTGGAATATTTTTTTTTTTTTTTTTTTTTGGTTTTTCGAGACAGGGTTTCTCTGTGTAGCTTTGCGCCTTTCCTGGGACTCACTTAGTAGTCCAGGCTGGCCTCGAACTCACAGAGATCCACCTGGCTCTGCCTCCCGAGTGCTGGTATTAAAGGAATATTTAAAATTAGTAAGACATTCATTTAACATAATGGTAAAATTTAAGATAATCAACATGGAGTGGTAAGAAATCATAACTTTAATACATTTTCTCCAATGGTGACATCTGGTAAACCTATTACTATTAGTACCAGGATATTAATCTATTACAGACTAGCTTGTCCAACTTTAATATTGTCCAGGTTGTGGTTTTTGGGCTCCTCCCAAGTCCCTTCAGGTTCTTCATTAAATTTCTTTTTTTAGGTATAGTTTTGTTACTTTATTTGTGCTTAATTATTTATTTATTTTTGTAAGTTAAATATGAATTGATTGCTTTTTTTCCATCTTTCTTTAAACATAATTTTTTTGTATCTTTGGGTATTTCACATTATGCACCCGAATCCCACATTTCCCAGGCCTTCCATGTCCACTCTCCAACCTTGTTGCCCCATCCCCAACACGTTAAAAACAAAAACAAACAAACAACAATAACAAAAAAAAATCTCATCAAACCCTCTGGGCAACGATTGATCCTCTATCAAGCCCAGGATTCTGTGCATGTACCATTCCACTCCTCTGTCTTTTCCACATCTCCTTCTCCTATCTGTTCATCGTGGAGGCATTGGAGGTTGTGGGGTGTCATTCAGTATGCCCTTTTGCCCAATCAGCCCAAACAGCTTTACTTGCAAATATTTATTACAATGAGTCATTAGGCTAGTTAAAGGACTCTGACTTCTGCTACAGTGTCAATATGCACCCTCAAAGAGACTCGCAGATAGCCTGCTGTTGCTCTGAGTCATGGGGGATCCTGCAGCTATGGATATGCGGGGCCAGCCCCTTCATGCCCTGCAGCAGCTCCTAGATGGAGAAGACGTTGGCGTGGACCAACTCAAAGTTTCGGGTCAGGGTCTGGATGATCGCTGAGTTGGTCAGTCTGCCAGCTTTCCCATGTCCACACCACCATAGCTGGCTCCACCTCTGGCCAGGTGAGGGTCACGACAAGATCTCCCACTCTCCCAAGTCCATGCCTCTGGGGCCAGCTTTCCCTCACCCCTGGGCAAGGGATGGGGCCAGCTCTCCCATCTGCATCAGCCAGCAAGGAGAAGGACCAGCTCTCCCCGCTCATGGCAGGAGCAGGCTAGAGGTGAGGCCAGCTCTCCCATGACCACAGCATCAGGGCCTGCTCTCCAGCTCTCATGCTACTAGGGCCAGTTCTCTTGCTCTGCCCGGGAAAGGAGTCGGACCCCACTCCTGAGTGCATCAGCTGCACTGGGTGGGGGCAGCTCTCCCATGTTGCCCCTGCAAGGGGTAGGTCCGACTCTCCTGCACCCATGCTCTTGGGGCCAATTCTACCAAGGCCATGTCAACACTGGTACCACCAGGTGGTGGCTGCTGGAGAATGGAGCCAGCTCAGGGTGGCTGCAATACAGACCCCCGACAGCCTCATCGTCTTCAGTGATAGTAGAGGCCACCAACATCAACACAGACCCGGATGCGTCAGGACCACGGATCCAGACACAGCCCTGGGCCATAGCAGAGGCCCAGTCATCAACATAGTTTCATGTGGCTATACAGGGCTTTATATCAGGGTGATTCTCACTTCTGTAGCACCTCTAGTTCCACCTCTCTTCACGGTGCACTGACCACTCAACTTCTTTTTCTCTCCCATCTCTCACGACATATTTGCCTGCTCCTTTCTCTCCCATCTCTCCTCTGCATACTTGCTCACGTCCTCCTGCCACACCCAGCCCAGCAAGGGACATCTCATCAATTTTCTTATGTCAAGAGTATTATGTATTGAATGGAATCATGCAGTAATTCATCCATCTATATTTCAGTTTCCCCTTTTCACTGAACATTAGTTCCTGGAGACAAATTCAAAGTATCTTAAATTCATGTCTTTTAATAGTTCAAAAATAAGTATTTATCTCACTTAGGAATGATTAATTTCAGAAGGGGCGATAGCAAAATGACCCTAATGTGATCCAAAAGCCAGTCGAGAAGAAGGAAGATTACTGAAAGTAATTGTACAGAGTTTTCATCTCAGAAGTGATGCTAATCAGACATACTGTAGATGATAGAAAAGCCATTTGAAGTTTTTTAACACACCTCAATATTTTCTGCAATAAATTTTACAATAGCTTCAGTATATGACATGAAGAATAAAAATAAATAGCTCTCTAATTTTCCTTGCTTTAAATCCTATAAAATACCTGCTATTGATTTGTTCATTTAAATGTAATATTCCTAAACTAACCATAAGTGGAAATAGGATATTCTGACATTATAAATTTGAATAATTTGGCAATGTTAAAGACATGATGTCTTAATAACTAAAGTAACACCAGATTAAATTGAATAATTAAAGTTTATGAAATGTAGCCTTTGTCTAGGGGGTACCTAACCATGGATACAAACAACATCATTTAGAAACCTATGTCCCAAGAGAAAGAAGACCATGTACAGAGAGTCAGGAAGCTATTAGTAACTGAAACTGGAAACATACTGTGTTGTTAGGCCTCTTAAAATTGTATTCTTTTAATAAGAGAAAGTGAGAGGAAAACTATTGTATGAACCTATCTGTAAGGAATAGAACTAGGAGAGAATTATTCCTTGATATTAGTAAGTTTGGTCTGTAGACCATGAATCTTTGTAAATGCAGAAAAATCATATATTATGTTTTATTTCAATAATCCATGAATGTGCTTTTTTCACTCTAATTTTAGTGCCAGCCAAAGGAGATTAAGAAGCAAATACTTCCTAGATCTCTGACCTAAACTTAAGTGTTGACTCTGCCATTTTCTTGACATAATCTTCTTCAAATTTCTCATACTGGGCTACAGTGAACTGATTCTTCCAGTCACCTGAAATGCCTGTAAAAAAACATAACAGAAAAGTTGGGAATTACTAATAAATTTCTGTCTAATAGTAATTTGAATTATCAATTTGTATGTGAATATTTAGTCTTTAACTTTTGATATGCATCATAACTATATTCTTCCACTCCAAACATATCTGCTAGGCCTAAACCTTAGCCTTTCAACTTCTGTAGGTTTTATAAGTATCTTATGTAAATAATAATAATAATTTCAAAGTATCTTAAAGAAATGCCATGAGGAAATGCCACCTGAAAAATCTCAATATTAATTCTTAGACTTTATGTACCCTGATAACAAAGGATAAAAGGCACTTCTTAGTCATTTTCTCAGCTTTAGTTCACAGGGTAAAATGACAACTTATTTGAAAAGTTTTATTATCAAGCAAGATTGAAAATTACTGGGGTAAATATAATTAAGCACATTTCCTTATTATATATTCCTCATTATATATTTGGTGAGTGTGTGTGTGTGTGTGTGTGTGTGTGTGTATGTGTGGTGTGTGTGTGTGTGTGTGTGTGTGTGTGTGTTCTGAGCCTCTAAAATATCAAAAATCTTTATGAAAGGATACAAGACATACCATACAGAAAGAATATTTGGTTAAATTATAGTTTTCACAGAGTATTCCCCAGTAGCATAGAAGATACAATTAGAAATCTAATTTTTCATATCCAAAAATTTCCTTGGTTTTAAAGGGGAGGCTTTCCTCTACCTTGTAGGTCATTTAGACACCAATAACTGTTTCCTAATTGTAACAATAAAAAATGTCTTCACATGTTTGCTCCCTGAGAAACAAAAAAAATCATACTTTGAGATATTACAGTAAAAACAACTGATAGCATAATTCCTTACCTGACAAAAATCATTTAGAATCTATAAAAATTCTAATTATAATGAGTCTTGATTGCTTCTATGTAGACATTCACCAAAATTTCTTTATCTCAAGAACTTTCCTAAACTTTATAGCTGCTGATAAATCTTCTCTACAACAAGAATGTTTTCCACTTCTACTCATCTGGTGTTGTGAGATTGTCTTACCCCGCAACTTCAGACTTAGGTTTTTATGTTTTGAACAGTGGAAGTGTAACATGTTTGGTGTACACAATATCTGAAAAGAAAGTTTAAAATACAAGCCCAGTTCCCATCATCTCCAACATGTTCTCATGCATGTCACTTGTGTGGGCCCTGCTTTTGCCTTTGGCTTTCTAAAGAGAACACAGAGGCCAGGTAAATCAACAAAACTACTGGAGTTACGATGATAAGCACCTAGCAACACATTAGTTAAATAAAAAGAAAACTTGTGACTAAATACCTGACTCCTCATGATTGTGGGAGTTTTATAGAAAGTTGGTTGGTACATATGAAATATTATCTATCCTCTCTCTCTCTCTCTCTCTCTCTCTCTCTCTCTCTCTCTCTCTCTCTCTCTCTCCCCCTCTTTCTACTCATGCACACAGACACATGTGAATACATGCACAAAATTATATATATATATATGTATATAAATATGTATATAACATGTATATCTACTTTATACAAGATGCTAAATATTGAGTTCAATACTGAGGGCACAATGATAACACTTATTGGTGCACAGGATGTTGAGCAAACATTTCTCATCATAAATCTCTCACTATATCTTACAGAAATGATATAGATGATTACACAGTATTTCTTCTAAGGCTTTTGTTTTTTTTTTCTATTTTAGATTTTCTCTCTTAAGCACATACTTAATTGCTTCTAAATTCCTGCCATCTCACATTAATGTGACTATTTATATCTTCCACAATGTGACCATAAACTATGCAGAAATGTGTTTGTACTGTTCTCACCTTTTCTCATGAATGGAGACACAGAATGGTCCATCTCTTCTTTCTTCATGGTGCTGTAATTTGCACTAGGATTCTCCTTCATTACATTGAAAGAGCTGTGATAGAGGATTTCATTTACAATTTCTTCTGGTAGGTCTTTCTCTAGAAACTTTAATAATTTTTTAATTTCACACATTGGATCCTGAAATGTTAAAAGGGGAAAAATAATCTCAGTTAGATTTGGTCACAAAGAAAGGAATGCATTTAATAAGGTTCTGTTTAAGCTTAACTAGTGGGAGAGATATTTTGGGGTTTTTATGTAACTTTTAATGCATAAGACAAGACTCAAGCAATTATATTTATAATTTTTATTTTTAAGAAGCAACTAAACTATTTGAAGACATGAGTGGAAACACACAGATTTTTATTTCAAAAGTATTATTGTCTTTGAATGGATAACAGTAGCAGGCTGGAGGAGTTGTATTAATTAGTACTGTAAGCTAGAACTAGAGTTCAAAATAAATTAGCCATGTTTATAGACTAAGAAGAAAAGAGAGTAAGAGACAAAGAAGTTAAATTTTGGGTTTCTTAAAAATAAACTGAAATTTCTCCTTACTTCTTTCATATCTTCATAAAACAGATAAAGGATACGGTAATCTTTTCTTTTCTCCCACCAGCCCTTCACATGATCATACCAGGAACCGAAACCCACTAAAGTTAAAGACAAAATGTAAAATTAAAAACTATTTACATGGAAATAGGAAATAGGTAATTATTGCTTTAAGTCGTGATTATCTGTTCAGATACAGTGATTTCTGTAGTTCAAGAAAAGGGGCCGTAAGAATAAAATAAAATCCATATGCTGAAATGCCCATCCTTCATAGTTGATAATGAAATTGTACTTAGAGAAAATGTCCCTACAGAAGTAAGAAAATTAGTTCTTGACCAATGTCCTTACACATAAAGGTATTAAGACAGACCCACCAAGATGGAATGCCATGGGGGGAATAGGATGAAGATACAGGCCTGCACAGTTTAAGGGGAAAGTCTGTAGAAAAAACACTGACAGCATTTTCTCCTTGGATTTGCAGATTCTAAAAATGTTAAAAAAAAAAATCTGTCATCTAAGCCATTCAATATGATATTTTATGGGACTTTTTATAAACTAATATATCATTTGATAAATATAACTAAGACCACAAAAATAAGGGTGTAGACTCTGAACGTTTCAAACAGTGAAGTGATGTGGATGTTCACAGGAGAGGAAATAGTAAAGAAAGATTATATAAAAAGGGAGTCACAAAAGCCCTGTGGAAGACAGAGTGCATTTCGTTCCGAGAAGCCTTTGGGCTTTGGCAGGGATAATGACATCTACACCATGAGCAAATAACACTTCAAGCAATGAAGTGTGTTAAGTCGATGCCAGATGTCACCTACACACATTTGCTTCCAAGAGGGGATTTATATGGGAACATGTTTATTGAGAATTTTTTCCTACAGTTACTATCATGAGTATGGAAGAAAGAGACTGTGTTTGTAACAGATTCTAAAGGGACAGCTGCTCAGGAGTTTTGAATGGCAAAGAAGAGATTCCAAAGAATGGACACATAATTAAAATAATCCAGCATAGACACTGAGACTTGAAAGAATTTAATAAATTGCCATCAGTCATTGACCACTAATGAAATGATGAAACCAAGGACCAGAAACATATATACCAGAAATTATCCAAAAGAAAAAAGGGCCTTGTATTCTTTCTCTTTAGTCTCCCTAACGTATTAGTAGATGGTTTTGTAAACATTAATTTTATAATAAACAGCATTTCGATTTTAGACTTTATGTTGCCTTGAAAAAAATCCCTATTAGTTTTGAAATCATAATTAAAAGAACAGTTGGACTCACCTTGCCCAGCCATGAATTTATCAAGGAACTCCTCCCAGGTGCCAGGCTCTGGGTGTATTTTTGCCATTTGGTAGAAATAATAGTAAGAAACAGCCACGTCTTTGGCATTCCGTGCCACATAGACCATCTGTAGGGGCACAAACAGAAGGTTGGAATTTATTTTTGTAATTTAATAGTTTTTAAATATTGCTTACATTATCAGGGTATTTATTTATCCTTTATAGTTCTCCAATCATGATATTTGTGGAACTATGCCCAACATAGTACATTCACAAGTGTATATTGTTTTAATACTCAAAAGCTCATCTCCCATTTCTGACACATCTGCATCTTCTTTAACCTTTTAAAAGATTGTCTTTTGGAACATGAAAAATAACTACAATAAGAACTAGAGCATTCATTTCTACCCCTATGTTGTATTCTCTTTGGTGTGAGAAGGTACTCTGCAGGCTACAGAAAGAGAAACCTGGTCAGTAACCCAGTAACAAAACCTTCTACCTATAATCTGTCCTGCCTGCAGGATGTACTGGGGCAATGGTGACGCAGAACTTGTGCCAACCAATGTTGAAGCTCATGCCATGAGAGGGAGCCCATGCCCTACACTTCCTGGATGGTCAAGAACCCTAGATTGAGTAGACCAGAGATGTAGGGTAGAACCAAACACAACTGGACAAAAGTAAATAAAATATAAATGAAATGATTCCTAATGATGTTCTGCTATACTCATATATTGGTTCCTTGTCTAGTTGTCATCAGAGAGGCTTCTGCCAGTGGCAGATTGGGAGCAAGTGCGTAGACCCACAGCCATACATTATACAGAGAGAGAGTCTAAATTAGAGGTCTTCATCGGTCCCTCCCCTCAGAGATCAGGAACCCCATGGAAGAGTGGAAGGAAAGATTGATTGTAGGAGTCAGAGTGGATGGAGGACACCAAGAGAATATGGCTCACTGAATCAACTACACAGAGCTCATATGGGCTCACAGAGACTGAGGTGGTATGCACAGGGCTTGCATGGGTCTACATCAGGTTCTCTGCATATATGCTATGGCTGTTAGCTTGGTGTTTTGTGAGAATCCTAACTGTGGGTGCCAATGAGCCTCTGACATTTTTGCCTGCTCGTGGTACCCCTTTTCTCCTATTGGGTTACCATGTTCAGCCTCGATATGAAGGCTTTAGCCTTGTATTTTTGTATCTTATGTTGTCCTGTTTTGACTGTTGTCTCTTGGAGGTCTGCTCTTTTCTGGGTATGAAATGGAGGGAGAATGGATCTTGGGGAAAGGGGAGGTGAAGGGGGCCTAGGAGGAATGGAGCAAGGGGAATCTGTGATGGATATGTATTGTATAAGAGATGAATCTACTTTTAAATAAAAAAGGAAATAAAAGAAAGTTTGGAAGAAGCTAGACTAAATATCAAATTAGGCAAGTAACTTATATATTCTTAAGTTTAGAACATTTATTTAAATTCATAATTTAAATAAATTAAAACTACACAAAGGGATAGGAGAGAGCCAAGAGAGGGTAGGGATAACAGTATTCAGAATGCATATATACAAGCATGGCATTGTCAAGTACTAAAATTAATAAAATGAAATAAAAAATTTTAAGCTGCAAAATATCTAAATTTTCACTGAAGAAAAATCATTACTAGGTAAATTTGGAGCCAGAAAAGATTAAAACCCCTTATGCCATAAACCAAAGCTATATAACAATATGTGTGGGATTAATTTTTTAATGTATCAAATTTTAAAGTCTGGATGAATGAAGTATTATTGCACAACTAAAATTACTTTGGGGATGACAAGATAGCTCAAAGGGTAAAGACACATTCAAGACTGATAACTTAATTTTAATCCCTAGACTCCACATGATGAAGGAGGTAACTGAGTCCCACGAGTTGTCTTTTGACCTCCTTGGGGGTAGGGAGGGAGAGAGGGAGAGGAAAGGGGAAAGGAAGGAGAGAGAGAGGGAGGGAGGGAGGGAGAGAGGGAGGGAGG